AGCCTGGGTGCCTGGAAAGAGGTGAGCAATAACGTCCTTGCACATCACCTTAGCCAGTAGCACAAAGTTCTCAATGTTTCTATGGCAACAGATAGCATTTTCAGTTTCCAAATTCCTCATTTTCTGTGAGGTACAGAAGCCTGTGCAGGATACCAGGGGGAAGAGGGCAACCCCGCTGGATCTGGAGGCGTGGAGGTGCCTGTGAGTGCAGGTCTCACGCTCCTGCTTGCCCTGCTGCCGAGGGCCTGCCCGGCTGCCCGGGCCAGCCGCTTCCTGCCAGCGGCCAAGAGGCTGTAGTGCAGAAACAACTGTCTCTCTCCTTCCCCTTGGCATTCAGCAGGCTGAAGCATCACTCTAAAAGAAATTATGTTCCATTAGGAACTTTTTTTTCTTGTATGTCTCATTTCTTCCCATGCCTTTTATTCCATATTTCTTGAGAAACCTTAGTATAGCTATATCAGCTAAGATGATCATGGAGTCATAGAGAGACAAACTGTAGCAACAACTGACAGCTTTTTGTGGAAGAAGCTCAGTTAAAATTCCAGCAGCAGGTGAGTTTGACTCCAGTGTAGAGGGTATTTTCTGCAGTGCAGACTTGCCCCATGTCCTCACTTTATACACAGCACTTTGTGCCTTGTAGTGGCAGGTGGCCATTAGGAAGTGCATGGGCATGCATGGAGCGAAAACCATTGGTATTCCTGTAGTAGGGATGGTTTGAGGTTGAAATACTCCCTGTTCCTGAGGGAGCCCCAAAGCCTTGCTAGCATCTAACTGAAATTCAGGTCGGGTATTTAGAGCCTGAATATGAAATGAAGGCACAATAGGAAGGTGAGAGGGATTTTGTTCCTCTTAAAGCCTCTCCTGAATTAAGCTATGTAATTGTTTAGGAAGAAAAAGTTCTAGTCTCCTGTAGCAGACTTACCTTTATATTTGAAAAATTTTACCCAACTGTGGTGGAACTGCACAGAAATGAGAAAGGAGGAGTAGAATCACCACAGCACGGGAAGGGAAACGTGCAAAACCTCCAGGACTGTCTTGCTGTTCTCTTGCCCAAAGGGCTTGGAGAGAGAATGTGCTCACGGCCGGCGTGAGGAAGAGGTGGGACCCACACAAACACAAAGTGGCTGTGATCAAAGCACTGCACTGTGAGATTGGGGTTTGCTGCTCATCTCTGACCTGATTTTCAGAGTAGATTCCTATTTGCATGTAATATTAATATGCTAAGAGGAAAATAATGAAGCCTAACTTGCCAGCTGAAGGCATGCAGCAGTTAAGTGTGGCTGGAATTTCTGTAGCAGAGCAATTTTGCTTGCCTTTAACATATGGATTTTTGAACAGCTGGAGACCTTTGCTGGTAGAATAACTGTGGTAGTGCTCAACCACAGGTGTGTTGTTTCCTGACTCTTCTTGAGATCTCCTGATTATGTAACTAAATAAGCAACAGATACCTGTATCACACTGAACAGAAACACTGGGGACAAGCAGCTCTCACCCTGCTGGGGATGCTGATGGTTGCAGTGTTGAAGAGCACTGCACATCCTTTTTTAGCATGCTGCTGTTCAAGCTCACATGGGAAGTCCTACTTGTGACTAGCAATGTATGTGACCAGCTCCTACCCGCATGACTGACATGAGCTGGGCTCCGTATTTGGGCTTCAAGTTAGAAATAAGCCTGTATGTCGTGCTTTAAAATGCTTATATATTGAAGATGAAGGCCAGTTATTCACATCATTTGTCTCTCTCTGACCCAAGAATGAAAAATCTGGTTATTTTTAGCTACAAGAGAAGAAACAAATGTCCTTTAGTAGAATTAGCTTCAAACGATGTCAACCAGAAGATGTCTTTTGCTGTCATGTCAGCAAATCTCAGGCAGATCGGCTAGGATGGAGGAGGGCTGATAAAGGGAATTGTCAGGGGAAATGTAGCTGCAGTTTAAAGAACAGTGTGTGATACTAAGCGAATTATGCTTTTTTGATTTGCCTTCTGCTCAGAGACTTGCAAAAAGTCAAAGCAATTTTCTTGGCTGCAGCCTAGAACAGAAAACCTCATGAATACCAAATATGCAGGTAGTCCGAGCATGACTGCAGCCAGGGCTTGTACAAGCAGATAGCCCGTTCCTGGGAGCCTCTCGAGGAGATGTGCAAGTGCTCGGGTCGTGTTTGAGCTGGCCTGTGTGTTACACCAAAACTAGGAAAGTTCTAGCGGGGAGCTGCAGGCTTGAGAGGGGAAAATCCGGTACTTCACTAAACCCTCTGTAATGTGTAGTTCTAACACAGTTGGCATAGTCTTTATTACTTACTAAATTAATAATGAACCAATTGAGGCTCAACTGACAGTTTCATATTTGAGCCAAAGCCTGTTAAATTCCTTTTCCCTCTGCTCAGATGGGCAGGAAAGGGCACAGAATCTGTAGCCTGCTCGTTCAGTCTGGTTGATCTTGAATGGCGTGTAGGGCTGTGCAGCCCCTATGGTATGATACAGATTAAAACAAGTCCAAGCTGCAACCGAAGCCTGATACAGAGTCATTAGGATGCACGTCCTCAGCGTATGCCCTGTGGTATGTTCAGCACTATATACACCACTGAACATGAGACACAAGCTCTGCTTGAAATGCAAACCTGCGTGTATTTTATAAGGAACAATATTCATTCCCTCTTTTGCCTTAGCCCCATGCAGATGTCAGCTGTCAGGTAGCCTGGCCCAGTCTTTGCTGACTATTAGTTCTTGTAAAGAAACATGGTTCAATCTAGTAATAAATCCAGAAATGAGTATTTGAGTATAAACATGCCTTGAACATAAACTGGCAAGTTAATACGAGGAGAAATACCTGTTGTTGTCTTAATACTCCTAATTTTGATTTTGAAAAAAAACAAGCTATACAGTAATTATCCAATTTTAGCTTTAAAAGCAAGTTATAGTGGAACAAAGGAGTGGCTTTATTAATGCACAAACAAATCCCTTGTTAGCCACTATTTCAAATATCCTTGAGTTGTTGATTACATGTTTCTCACTGTGTTAAAACCGGGACCACATTACACTAGATTTTGCATGTGTTTTAGTTGCTTTGTGCTAAATCAAGATAGGAGCACAGGCAAGCTAAAATACAAGTGGTTAATACGTGTGAAATTTTTTTTTTTTTAAAGTGAATACGGTCTATTAAAAATGGCAAAACAGAATGGAAAATATGTTCACTAAGTACTGTAAGTATGTAAAACAAACTAATTTGAGCGTTTCAACAATATTAGCTTTCTTCCATTTGTGACATGACATGCACCGCTTTTGAGCATAACAATATGATATGGCTGAATAAAAATCTGCCTTCAGTTATAAATCCAAAACATTAGAGGAAAAAAAAATTTTTTAATACCCAAATATGCAAACAGCAGGAAATCTAAAAACCTTACTGACAGTTCTCTAAGTGAAGTCAAATGCTGAAATCATCATTTGAAAATCATGCAGGAATTAGACCATGACTGATTGCAGTTTGGTGAACCAGTCTGTGTGCTCTGTCACCTCCGCAGCGCTGAGGGGAACTGTTCCCCCGAGCTAACTGCTCCAGGCAGCACAATTTAACGTGCTGAGTTCTGCTACTCTTTTTACTGCTTGGACTACTACTCTCTACTATGCAAAAAGCTTGTTTGCTGTGGTGATAAAGAGGTAGAAAATGGGAAGAAAGCTAGTTAAAAATTGCACTTGAAGAGCCAGGCTATGTTAGACTCCAATGCAGTCAAATTATACAAGGGGTTAAAGCTGGGCTCTTTGTCCTGCAGCAATTTGCTCTTGTTTTCTTCCCTCCTTTCCCCATGGTGCTGTTTTACCACAGGCAGCTTCTTGGAGGGGTATCAGAGCACACAGGGTTCCTGATAGGGAGGTGATCGTTGTATTTTGGCCTTGCTCAGGTAGCCTGGATTGCTGTGCAATGGGTGTTTTGGTAGAAATAGGACACAAATCACTGTATATTAGATACTGCCATGCCACCTTTGCATTAGTGTGCTCTCTCCTATGCTCTTTTCCATATTTTTTTTTCTTAATCCATTTGAAAGTAAGCTGTAACCTAACCCCAGCAACTGTAAGGAAAAAGACTGCAATGCGTATACTGCCAGCATAGAGTCCAATACAAAAAACCTGAGTTCCCTGGACGTGAGGTGTGTGTTTCTTGGGGATCCCTGCCAGGAAGGGCTCCCTGAGTTGCCCTGCTTTTCTGCTTGGCACCAAGCACCTTCCTTCTGCAAAGGCTCAACTGACTGGGGAGAGGTTGAATCTCCTGGGGGTCAGGATGAGCTGCAGGTTGTTTCTCTGCATACGTGAGCACAGCCTAAGCTGCAGTTAGGGTATCTTCTGGATACAGAAAGTCATTGCTTGCTTAGTACTTCCTTTAAGAGAATTTCAGAGTACTTGTTACTGTGTCAGATTGCCTCTGAAGCAAACCATCCTTTCCCATTTGCCATGGAAGTAGCAGCTGGACGGTGGTTTGTTCTCATTCCCTGGCTTGTGCTGCTTTGGTCAACAATTTCAATGAAGATGGATTTGCATCACTAATGTGTTTTTTTTTATATCCTTTCTTTCTCCCCTCACTCTGTCCATTTTTGGTGTACTGGCATGATCTGATTGAGTCAAACTTGTAATTTAGCCTGGTAAGGTTGTGTGGTATAAATTTATTTATAATTTGTATGGGGGTTTCTACTCGCCTAGTGGATTGGACATATCATTTTCCCTGCCTTTCATAGCTGAATACAGAGAAAAATTAAGCCATTTGATCCTTGTTTTGTTGGCTTTTATTGGTATATCTGGAACATCATAGAGGGCTATTTGGAACATATTTTTGCCTAATTACATCATTACTGCATGTGTTGTGCAAAAACAGAATCCAGTGGAAACCACACTAATTAGAGCCATTTTTCCACTTAATTCAAGAAGAGCCATGCTGTTTTTTGAGAAAAATTCTTTCTGCACAGATAATAAAATACCTTAAGTATTAGCATAGCTATTAAACTGGCAAAGGTGAAATGGTTTAGGCAGATTGAGAGGTATAGGAAGCTTCACTTCCCCCACTTTCACAAATGAGTAATTTTCTGATTTCCTTGACTGATCTCATGAGGAATGGGAGATATCAGATCAAGACTTCTTCCTAACCTGTACAGCTCCTCAGGACAAATGAGGTGGTGTTGAGGCAGTGCAATCCCGTGCAGTTTGGAGCTGGCAGCTATGCTGGGTTTCTCATATTGCAGCAAAAAGTTTCCTTGCACAGGAAAATCTAGCATCTGTTTCGGATTGTTAGAAAACTTTTAAGTTACAGCACTGTCTAGCTGAGAACAATAAGGCATCCAAACATGAACTGAATCACTAGAGGCTGAATTAGGCCTGGATCCCTCTAGTCTCCATGTTTTAATCCCTATTAATCCGTATAAAAACATGAGGGGGGAAAAAAGCCAGAATCCAACTTCATAATTATATTGCAAACTGAATTTAAGGCAACTTCACCTTGTACTTGCAACAAATATGATTTAGTAATAAAATCAAAAGCTGCTTCAGTGCTGGGCTTTGATTTAATTTGTTATTAAAATGTTGAACGATGTTTTATTTGGTCAGTAAATACATTAATTGTGACTGACGAGAGTGGTGTGCGTGTATAATACAATATATCAGGATAATTCTCCCTGTGAAAGGTTTTTCTGTGCTTAGTCTTGTTCAAATATAACATTGCCTCTCTTTATTTGCAGTGACAATTTACATGCATTCACTGGCCCTTCTATTTTATCACTGTTAACTGCTTCACGGCTCTACTCTTGTGCAGAGAAGCCTTCCTCCCCCAGCAGAGGAAACTCCTCATCCACGGAGAGGTTGTGCAGCTCTATTCCTGGAGCTATTTTTAAATGGATTAGATGGGCATGTGTCAGCACAGATGGGTATAGTTGATGACTTCCTGAGGTCCCTTTCAAGCCTGTGTTTCTAGATACATTTGTGCTTAGAGCTATGCATAGATTTATTTATTCAAAATGAAATTTTAAAATGTTTGTACTGGCTCGAAGTTTTGACTTTTGTTAAGTTCTGCGATACCATTACCAGGGTTAGTAATAGTATATTACTGATTTTTGTGCCCAGGAAGCTGCTAAGATACTTTTTTAGACAACTAAAAAAGTTACAAAAAGATACAGAATAAAATAATTTACCAGAATGGCTCCCATGAGGTCTGGAAAAGCTTAGCTGTCTAGTCTAGAATACATGACAGGGCAATTCTACCTTCTAATGTTGTTGCTGATATAAACCACCAAATTCCATTTTCCCTTTTCCACCACTGGAGATTTTTGTAAGCATGTTAACAGTGTTGGCAGCCTCCTGCCACACCGGTACCTCCCCACTGCCAGGGATGCTCCTGGGACTGCAGATCAGTGTCGGATAATGTCTTCCCGGGGGAATCTCCTGCTGTTGGCGAGCTCTGCCGTCTGGGATGCCCTGTTCAAACCCCGTGTGTGGCACTTGCTAAATGCCGCGGTGAGCAGCGGCGCCTGGCTGTGCGGGTGCCCCTCTGGGGAGGGTTTCCCCCTGTGTACAGCGTGACCTGGCCTCTTGGCACACTCAGCACCAGGTTTCATAGAAACCTTCTGGCTCTGGTTTTCAGCAGAGAATGTCATACTAGTTAGTATATTTTTCTGCCAGTTTTGGAGTCTGAACATCTTCCATGACCTATGTACTGCACAGCTCAGCTTGGACAGTGTTCTGTTTATCTCCCCATACTATTGACAGGTAGCCTCAACCTTGCCAGAAGATTGTCCTTTAGTTCCTTGAACTCCAGGACTACTTTTCTGAATGGTTTCTTTTCCATCCCCCAGGGTTTGGCAGTCCATGTTTGAGGCAGGCTCCGATTGAATACAGCGTTGCAGTGTCACCATGATGACTGGGCATGAGCAATTGCACATGGATTTATCCTATCTGTGTCAACGTGACTGTGAAGCAGCAGCCAGCATAGAGGTAAACTCTGAAATTAGCTTAAGAGGATGGTAGAGTTACTGTGTAGTGGCAGATGTGGGTTTATACCACCATAATTGATCATCTGTACCAATTTTATAAACAGAGAACTTCAGCCCTCTAAGGGGAATTTGGATGACAGAGTTGTGATAGTGAATCTGCATGATGATGTTAGTCTGATTATGGTAATCAGACATAGTTTTCTTCAGTGCAAGTAAATTGAGGCCTAGGCAAATGCTTTGACCTCAATAAACTCTTTGTATCACTGCTAAGCCAGGTGGTGATGCCAGAAGGCTGTTTTTGTGGATTTTTACCGTCAGCTGCACTCTGTGGAGAGTGCTGTGCAATTCCTAGAGCTTCCTGGAGATGTGCTTGTCTGATGTGGCCTGCACACATAGGGGTTGTCCCTGTAGCAGCCTCGAGAGGCGTCACAAGGGTGCTTGCATATGCTGTGAAGGAAGAAGGCACCCGCATTTCTTGTGTTCTTTCTTAGTGAGGATAGTGTTCATTTGGATCACTTGGAAGAAGGAGGCGTTTTCTAGAAAGATGCTCATGAAAGGGTTCATCTGTTCTGTGGAACTTATACATAGGAGACTGATTTCCATGGAGAAACAATTCCCTACCACAGCAAGTTCTGTTTTCTTTTTTTTTTTCTTTTTTTTTTTTTTTTCTTTTTTAATGGGCAAAGCTAGCAGTGCCTGGAGCCCTTTCAGACCAGACCCAGTGACAAGCAGCTTATCAGTTTGCGGAGTCAGCGGGTCGCCTCTCAGCTGCGCGTTGCCTTTTTCCAAGACCCAACACCACCACAAGCCAGAGAATTGGGGCTACTTTGACAAGATCACTATTGACTTGTTAGATGTTCATTTTCTTCAGGAAAGTTTTGTCACTGCAGTAACTTTGTGAAACTTAGTTCATGTTTCCAGTACCCATTACATATTGTTCTTGGTGTGCATTCAGCAATTCCTGTTTTCATTGCTAGAAAAGTCACTTCTGTGACCCTAAAGCTGAGTTTTTCTCACAGTGCAAAGCTATGCTATTTAGTTAAAGGATGCAGGAAGCTGAATGAGAGAGAACAATACAGAATAGCCTTCTAAAACCTTGACCATGTTGGGAACTCTTACTGAACCTCGCAGGGCCTTTTCATAAACACTGAATAGGGCAAACAGAAATGGGAAGCAAGGAGGGTGGCTGTATTCTCAGTTACTGATGTCAGGAGGTCTCTAGGTGGTTTTTGTCAACTAACAGTCTTTCTCCAGATGTGGAGGTACGTGTCAGCTATTCAGTACGGCAGCAACAATTGCCTATTGAGAACAGCACCTCAATAAGTCTCTCTTTGATTATGCTGTGAGTAATGACAAATGGGGTTTCGGCCTGAGGTTCATTGCTAATAGGAAATAAAGCTATTCAAATTATTTGTTATAGATATTAGAAACCATTTTTAGCTAATATATCCTTTGCCATCCTTTTGTAACATGCTAGTTGTTGCTGAATAGATTCAGAAGAAGACTTCTGGTCTGCTGTTGGTCCAGCAGCTATGCAGTTTGACTGTGGGCAGAGCAGTCATGCTTAATAAAGAGAGCTAAGTAGTATAGGATGGGACTTCCACATGTGGCATTTATTCTAGGTGCCTTAGTATTTGAAACTTTGCATTTTTGCATTTGCAGATTTTTTTGCAAAGTCATGATTAAAATTGTGGGTGGGTACATGAGGCATTTTCTCTGATTTGATAGAATCTGTGTCAAAATCTTCCACCTTATGTCTCAAACCTGGTGCACATGGTGCTAGCAATACTCTTGAATGTTTGAAGGGTGTTTAAGATCGAGTATTCGGTTTTTTTTAAATAGCATTTGTCTGCTGTGTTTTAATATACAGAATGAAAATGAAGCATACATTAAACCTTAGATATACATTTAGAGGTTCGTGTTTTGATTTTTGACTTCTTTTCAATGAAAGCTATGCTCTCATAAATTGAGAGGGGCAAACACTGTGGGAAAGGTGGTTCCTAGGGCCTGTTATTCCGATGATAATTTGTAGCTTGAGACACTGGCAGGCCAAATTGCTTCCCAAACATAGGGTCTGTGAGCTGTGACCTGAGGATTCCTCATCTAGATAGTCTCTGATATTTGTTCATCAAAAACTGCTCTTAAACTCTACGTAAACACTATATAATAGATTTCTACTTGCCTCTTGAGGATCCTAGTACCTTTTTATGAAGCAGACTTGACTTGGTATTTTTTATTAACCTTAACATCAGGATATTTAGGTAACTTTTTGTCTGAGGATGACTCAAAAGACCCTTTATTCCTTCCCCATGCCTAGGGGGTTGTAGATGAACTTTATAGGAGCTAATTACATTTCTGTAGAACTCTGTGTGCTTAATCCCTGCTAATTTCCCCGAACTTGCTTGTTTGTGTCCAAGCTGTATTTAGATATCCGGCCAGGGAAAATCAGAGTACTTCTATATAGATTTCTGCCAAGGAAGAATTATATTTAGAGAGCCTAAGATTTGCAGTGGCTTTAGCATTAAACAACCAAGCCAAAGCCTAGTAGATGTTAGTTCTTGTAATCACTTAGCAATGTAAGCTAGGAAATGTCTCTGACAACTGCTGATATGAAGAATACATCAATATGCATGCTTTAATTTAATTTAGGCTTGCTGTGTGCTTGACTCTCTTGGGATGTATCTGCTTTATCTGTCTTGCTAGGTTTTAAAGATGGCATAGATTTGATAAAGGCTTTTAGATGCCTGGAGCCCTATCAGGTCGGGTGCTTCCAGCACATCTTCATAGAGATTATGTGGAGATTTGTCAAATGGGCAGCAGCCTTCAAGTACAACTGCAGCTGAGTCGTGCACGAGGCCCTTACGTGCTGGGTTTGCTCTGAACATGCCCTCGGTCCAGGGCAGAATGCCTTTCAGACAGCCATGGGGCAGCAGGAGGAATCATCCTCGGGAGCCTGAGCCAGGCTCCGCCGACCCTGCCGAGTGTTCTGCAGCCTGGGAACTCTGATGCCTTCCGGCAGTTCCAAGTCTGCTAACCCCAAATATCATGTTTCCTTGGCCTCTAGCCATTCTTAATCCATATCTGTTAGAAATCCTTTAGGATCCTTGAAATACTGCTTGTTTTCCAGTATTTCTGGTGATCATCTTTATGCCTTTCTCATTCTTTGGAACATAGCATAGTCATTCTGAGAGTACAAGTTGTATTTTCAAGTGAGCTGTCCTAGACATGGGACTGAAAAAGTAGCGATGTCTTTTAAGGTCACTTCTTGAACAGCTTTCAGTGTCTGATCAAATGCATTTTGTTTTTTTGCTCTCTGACTGTAATGACTTTTTAATTAATATGGTCCAATGCCCTAAAAATCTCCCTTAAATTTTGACGTCCTTGGTATTTGCAGTATGACTGAACCCTGCCTGCTCAAGGACCGCTACAGTGTTTGCTACAGCTTTTTAATATGGGAGTGCATCTCTTCCAGGAAGATATTACTAGGGCTATGTATGGAATCAATTAACTTTCCTGGTTTAACCCCTGCCTTCTTACAAGGTCTAGTCTCCACACTTTCAACAACGTGTCTTTTAAACAATTAATCTGACTTTCAGCTGAACAGTCTGTTCAGCATCTGGTTTCTTGACTAACCTTTGTGAATGGTGACTTGGGCATCGGGGCCAGGTCCCAGGCCGTGAGTCAGCGGATGCTGCTGTCTCTGGCTTAACCAGCAATCTCAACATCACCAAGGCTTGGGAGTTAAAGAAGCAGGGTTTCCTGGGCTCATCAGGGAGTTTCAAAGGCCATTTAATGTTCTTTTTTTATCTTCTTTTGCCTTTCATGGCTGAAATATGCATTTAAATCTGTACAGGATTTGTGTCCCTCTGCTTTTTTGTTAAAGTACACCTGTGTAGGTTTACAGTATTTTTCTCAACAAGAAATGCCATTTGTCTCATATGTAGAAAGTTGTACTTCGAAATCGATTCAGTTTGTGTCAAAGTCAAAGGCCAAGTGAATACACCTGTAGGACAGGATTATTTAACCTTGACCAGTACTGGCTGAAGATGATGGAGCACTGGGTCAGAGCACTGGAACAGGCTGCCCAGAGAGGTTGTGGAGTCTCCTTCTCTGGAGATCTTCCAAACCCGCTTGGATGCAGTCCTGCGCCACGTGCTTTAGGTGACCCTGCGTATGCAGGGGGGTTGGACTGGATGATCTCTGGAGGACGCTTCCAACCCTAGGCATTCTGTGATTCTGCGATTCTATGTACCATAACCAGTTAGACAACAAGTGATGAGTTTTATAAGCTCTCTCTAGGACAACAAACAGAAAGCTGCTTTTGGCAAGAAGCTGGTACTTTTTTCAGAAAGTGTCCTCTTTTCCACTATCAAATTGAACTAGATTTGAAAGGAATCCTTCAGGTTTGTGTTTGCAGCTTCCTGTATGGCTTCTTTTAGTGCAGAGGAAATGGACAGCCCAGATGATAACTCCTCCAAACGTTGTTATTTACTGTGAACACGTATGTATTGCACTGGGACTCGAAAAATCTATAGCACAATAGCGGTGACTGTCTTTTTTGTTGAGCAGAAATGAAAAGGAGGAAAAAATGAAAATCCTGTAGAGATAATCGAAGCTGAAACATTTTTATGCTCTTGAGAAGAGCTGCAGAAAGCAAATTGTACGAAAAGGACAAAGGGGGAAATGTCATGTGCCAGCCCTCCCTGTTGTCTCCCTGGCGCCGGGCCCAGGCTGTGAGTGTGTATTAAGCTTTGCCATAGCAACGATATCAGTAAAGCGTTTCCCAAACCCGAGCGGCCCTCTTGCTGCTGCCGCTTCAGGGAGGAGAGGTCTTCAAACTGTAGTCCTGTATTTTACTAAACACCAGCTTGGGGATTTCTGGAAAGGTTTAAAAAACAAAAATAGCCTTTGACAAATCTGCCTTGTTTTTAAACAAGGAAATAAATACAACTCTGTTTCCCTCTGCCCTCCTTCCAAATTTCAGGAAACAAGAATAAGTTTGGAGCTCTCCTGTGTTCTCCACTGCGCAGCGTTAACAGTCTGGAGGATAGTAGCTTGAGGATCACAAGGGTGTCACAAACTCACCAAAGGACTTAAAGCTAGTTAGACAAAGCTCCCCCATGAAAACAGCACTGCATAATCCAAAGGCAAGATTCCTGCTTTGGTTCCCTCTCTGAAACCTGGTAAGTTCCACTCCAAAGAGGCCAGAACATAGCTCACTACGTGAATTCACTTCGAGGCCCCTCATCCTACACTGGTATTTCCTACTCAAGGAAGTCTGCAGTGAATTGAGTCAGGCAACTAAATGAGGTTTAAAAAATAGCCTTTCCCCGGCCCCTGGGTCACTTCCTTGCATGGTTTGCAATAGTGACACACAGTTGTACCTGTGTAGCCAAGGGGGAGGACTAGGCTGGAAATAAGGGGTAAGGTAGAGGGGTTGGTTATGCTGGTGCTGCCACTAGTGAAAAATGTTCCTCCCAGATGAATTTCCTGGGCATGACTGTAGCTCTATAAGGAGAGTGCAGGAGGACAAGCCATGGATGGGGAGGACAGGGTTTTGAAGGTCAGTGTTTGCAGTGGAATGTAAATGCACAGTTTAAGCTCTTTGATCTACCGGTAAAGCTGGTGGTGTTTCAAAGCTAAGTGTAGTGACCTTAGTCATTAAATGGCAAATATCATCATAAAGCTGCTTGGTTCTGCGCTGCACCCGTGAGTGACGAGCAGCGTTCGGAGTTAGAGTGAGCACCTACTGGCATTACCAAAACTTCTTCAATGTGCTTCTGCAACTTATCTCGATCCTGTTGAATTGCTATTGGGCTCCTCTCATCTCTTGAATGAAATCCCCCAGCGAGGGCAGTTTTTGTGCCAGATATGCGGCTAGGGAATCAAATGTGAACTGCAGGGTGGCTGTCAGTTTCTCCATCTCTTCCCATCTTGGTCCCTGAAGTCTTGTTCCCACTCTTGTCACCCAGTGTCCTACCTATTGACCAGTCCTCCTTTCCTTTGGAAGCAAACTGACACATTTCAGCCAAAAAATGATGGGGGGTGCTAGGGAAGGTACTTGTACTCTTCAGACTTGTAGTAACATAATGAAACTGCCTTTCACCTCCATGCTTATGCTTGCATAACAAGGGTAGTGCTACAGCAGAGGAACAAGGACAGCAGGTCCCAGTGCTTACAGCCCTCCTTGTTTCTGATGCACGGAGGCCTCCGGAGTAACAGGGCAGCGAGTCGGAGGCATTGCTTTAGTTGTGGGTATTGCAGGCTCTGATGCAGATGGTGCTGGCAAGGAGCACGGTGAAATTGGATGTTTTGTGCTGCTCTTTGCCTGAAGGAAAACCTCTTTATCTGTCATTTCAGCATATAAACTTTTAGGATTAGAGGAAAAAATAAGCAGTTGAGATCTTAAGAGTTACTTCAGGGATGAATAAAGGGCAGAGAAGGCTGGCTGGTGGGTGGAAACAGTGTCATGCTTACATGAGATCATTCTGCTTTAGAGGTTTTCTTTGCGCAGGATTTTTGTTTTGTTTTTAAACTTTCAGATTTTTCAAGAAAAACTGTTTTGAGTGTGGGTGCCAAAAATTAGCCAATTAAGCCCATGCCAAGGCATCTAATTAAACAGCTTATTTTTCAAAAAACTACTGAGGCCAGGAGGAGCAGATGGTTCTCAGCACTTCAGAAATTCAGGCTGTTCATTTCAGCAACTCTGTGCAGATAGAGATGTCTAACTCTGCAGGCTGTATTTGAAAATATTGATCTTGCATATTAAAACACATTTGAAATATATATTTAAATACTCTTTAACTGGGTATTTGAATAATTAGGCCACAGTTGCAGAACATGGTCCTGTAAAACCTCTAATGAGCCCCTGTGCGTGAAGAGACTATTGCTCAAAAACGTTTCAGAAACCCCTTGCATTTCTTTGTGGCATCAGTTGTGACCAGGGGCTTCGAGCAGCCCTTGGCTGCTCTGACGGCTCAGTGGAGCTGAGGGCTGCCACGATAAGGAATATGTCTTAAATATCCCAATAGAGACAACAAAACCAGGTTATTTCAGCGTGGAGTGTCACTTATAACACTTGTCATGGAGAGCAGTCTGTATTGTTTCTGGTGACAATGTAGTTGTCACTCAGTCCCGTTGCTTTTAGAGGAGCTGTTAAAGATGCAGTTAAGGATGTTTTGAGCTGCAGGTGTTTCAGTGTTCCTCAGTTGGTAAAGCCTTGAGAGTCAGTGCATCAGATCTGTTGTTTAGATAATCGTGTCTGCCAGAGAAGAAAAGTGTCACCAGGTGCTGTGGATAATGTTCTGTGATTCTGCCCTGGTGCTGATGCTTTTCCTGGCTGCCATTTAACATCATGTCTGCGGTGACCCCAGTTTTGGCAGGGAAGATGCTTCTTATATCTATAGTGCTGCAGTCTGCATCTGTATAGACAGAGCCCAGGGATCCAGGTGCCCTCACGCAGGGAGGAGCTGGGCACGCTGAGGATACTGGAGCTTGCAGATATCTGGAATATTTGGCTGAATCCAGTAGATATCAGTAGAGAAAACTTCAAGTTTTATTTATTTATTTTAGTGACACTTGCGCTGCTGATACTTGAGTATGTTAGAAAAACTTGCATCGTAACGTACTTGTCAACATACTGTCATTTTGCTGATGCTTTGGCCAGAGCCTGTACCTTACAGCTCCTTTCTGGCACTTGTTTATACTCTTCACACACCGCTTTCCATGGCAAGCAGAAGGGTAAGATACCA